CAGCACAGATATCCATCCTTCCAAATAATTTGAACCTTTGGTCACTCCCAAAGAGAGTCAAAGTGTTGGAACAATTTATAAGCATCTCTCTCATATGTTACATCTATTATAGATGCAAAGTAAAATTTTTTTAAAAAGCTGACTGTTCCTTGTACAACCCTCTGCCCCATTCCTCAAACAACGATGTCCTCACCTTTCATAGAAAGTCCAGCTTCTCTCAGGGTTGGTTCAAATTCCATCTATTTTGTCTGTTTTGTCACCTTCAATTGTCACAATGAGAATCATTCAACTCACCTGGGCTCAACTCACCTCGGCTCCCGGAGCAACGAGTTTGTCCATCTAACATAGAATTTGTCATAGTTTGACTTTTATTAAAGTTATATGCCTAGGAACATACTTTTTGCCTCTAATGTGTGTTTATCTGTCATTGTTTTCCTTCTATGCCTAGTGCAGTGTTTCTGAAGTGAATTTATTGAAAGTTATAAAAATACTGTCTTACCGGGCCGGGCATGGTGGCTCACGCCTGTAATCCCAGCACTTTGGGAGGCCAAGGTGGGTGGATCACGAGGTCAAGAGATCGAGACCATCCTGGTCAACATGGTGAAACCCTGTCTCTACGAAAAATACCAAAAATTAACTGGGCATGGTGGTGCGTGCCTGTAATCCCAGCTACTCAGGAGGCTGAGGCAGGAGAATTGCCTGAATCCAGGAGGGGGAGGATGCAGTGAGCCGGGGTCGCACCATTGCACTCCAGCCTGGATAACAAGAGTGAAACTCCGTCTCAAAAAAAAAAAAAAAAGAAAATACCGTATTACCACTTCAAGAAAGTCAGGGGAGTATACTTGGTGATCAATGACAGTTAAAGATATCTTATTTTTAAAACAACTCTCCTGCAGATAATTTAAAAGGTAAAAATTCAGCTTACATGGAATTGCTGAAAGAGCTTAAAATTAACGAGGAAAATGTTGAGAAGTGATCATTTTCAAAAATGTGAAAAAGTGCTAATTCAAAGATATGACTCCTCAGTTGGCCACTAAAAGGGTAGAGACAGCAGTGTCTCAGGCTGCTGCAGCTCTCTAATACTTGGTCACTCTTTGGAAGCACCAGGTTCAGAATTTGTCTTTTTTTTTTTTTTGAGATAGGATCTTCCTCTTTCACCCAGGCCAGAATACAGGGGTGGGATCTTAGCTCACTGCAGTTTTGAACTCCGGGGTTCAAGCAGTCTTCCCAACTGGGCCTCCCAAGTAGCTAGGACTACAGGCATGTGCTACCATGTCTGTTCTTTTTGTAGAGATGGGGTCTTGCTATATTGCCCAGGCTGGTTTCAAACTCCTGAGCTCAAGTGATCCTCCCACCTCAGTCTCTCAAAGTGCTGGTATTGCAGGCATGAGCCACCATGCCCAGCCAGAATTTGTCACTTCTAACATGACATTTCTTAACTATTATCCTTGAAAATTATTCATAGAATTTCTTTCTTTTTTTGCAACCTCCACCTCCTGGGCTCAAGTGATCCTCCCACCTCAGCCTCCCAAGTAGCTGGGACTATAGGTGTATACCACCATGGTGGACTAATTTTTGTTTTGATAGAGATGGGGTTTTGCCATGTTGTCTAGGCTGGCAGATAATTTATTTCAAAAATAATTTCATCAGGTTTGTGTTTTTAAGAAACATATGGATAATTTGACCACACAGCTAATAAATTTTAGTTTTTGGATTAAATACATTGGAATATCACTCAAACACTGTTTCACAGTGAATACAATTCATCAATATGCATTCTGCTTTGGGATACATCTATATAGTTTCTAAAAGGCCATAGATCCCTGGTTGGTTTTCTCACCCATAAGGAAGCCCTGTAGCATAGCTATCAAGGATTGCTTTATGGGCCAGGCGCCATGGCTCATGCCTATAACTGCAACACTTTGGGAGACTGAGGAGGGTGGATCACCTGAGGTCAAGAATTCGAGACCAGCCTGGCCAACATAGTGAATGGTGAAACCCCATCTCTACTAAAATACAAAAATTAGGCAGATGTGGTGGTGGGTGTCTGTAATCCCAGCTACACGGGAGGCTAGATAATCGCTTGAACCTGGAAGGTGGAGGTTGCAGTGAACTGAGATCCCGACACTGCCCTCCAGCCTGGGCGACAAAGCAAGACTCTGTCTTTAAAAAAAAAAAAAAAAAAAAAAGGATTGCTTTATAGAGCCTCCAGATTTTCATTTAAAGAAGTGAGAAACTTCTGGTATAGCAATTAAGGTACATAGATTTAACAGGTGGAGAGGATTAGGCTGTACAACAGCTTGCACTTCCATTGCTTTAAATGGTTATTGGTTTCATAGTTTTCCTTCATGCATCATTCAAACCACAGCATTTTAAAATAACTTCTAAGAAATAGCCGGATAGAGTTCCACATATAAAATATGACAATTTCAGAAATGACATGGAGCCAAAATTTATTATCCAAAAAATTCTATTTGGCTCATGTCTACATTGTTAGAATCCCTTGCCTAAATCACATCTAGAGTTTAGGTTTGTTTAAATGTGACTATAGTCACATTTGCCTGGGGTGTTGAGAGAATTACCGATATGACTGTTAAGGGGGGCTCTGAGGTACGATACTTCCTGGGTACATAGGCAAATGCTGCATATTGGTTTTCTACTGTTTTTTAATATTGCTCTTTAAGAAGTTATTTTCTCTGGTTAAAAAAACCTTCACACCTTTTAAACTTTTGAAAGGTTTTAGAATCCCATCCTGTATGCTACTTGCAACTATATATCTATTTTAATTGGTACTCTGTAGATGAAAATATTTGTGTGTATATATATATGTGTGTATAAAAAAGCACTAAAGGCAGGGCACAGTGGCTCATGCCTGTGCCAGCACTTTAGAAGGCTGAGGCAGGCAGATCAACAGGTCAGGAGATTGAGATCATCCTGGCCAACACGGTGAAACCTCGTCTCTTAAAAAATAAATAAATAGGCTGGGTGTGGTGGCTCAAGCCTGTAATCCCAGCACTTTGGGAGGCCGAGGCAGGTGGATCACGAAGTCGAGAGATCGAGACCATCCTGGTCAACATGGTAAAACCCCGTCTCTACTAAAAATACAAAAAATTAGCTGGGCGTGGTGGCACGTGCCTGTAATCCCAGCTACTCAGGAGGCTGAGGCAGGAGAATTGCCTGAACTCAGGAGGCAGAGCTTGCGGTGAGCCGAGATCGCGCCATTGCACTCCAGCCTGGGTAACAAGAGCGAAACTCCGCCTCAAAAAAATAAAAATAAAAAATAAAAAAATAAAAATAAATAAATAAGCAGTAAAAGAGTGCTTTTGCTGCTAGTAGAATATTTTGATAAGCCACGCTACTCCTCAAAGAGGAACTGATCTGATACATCTAGCAACACTTAAAACTAATGAAAGGCTAAATCTGTGTCCAGTGGGTAAAAGATAGGGAGGGTTCCCACCTGGGCTTAAAAAAAGCTTTTTTTTTTTTTTTTTGAGATGGAGTTTCGCTCTTGTTACCCAGGCTGGAGTGCAATGGCGCGATCTCGGCTCACCGCAACCTCGGCTTCCTGGGTTCAGGCAATTCTCCTGCCTCAGTCTCCTAAAAAAAAAAGCTTTTTAATCATGCCTGTAAACCCAGCACTTTGGGAGGATGAGGTGGGTGGATCCCTTGACTCCAGGAGTTCAAGACCGGCCTAGGCAACATAGTGAGACATAGTCTTCACAAAAAATATAAAAAGCGCCGGGCAGGGTGGCTCAAGCCTGTAATCCCAGCACTTTGGGAGGCTGAGGCGGGTGGATCATGAGGTCAAGAGATCGAAACCATCCTGGTCAACATAGTGAAACCCCGTCTCTACTAAAAATACAAAAAAAAAAAAAAAGTAGCCAGTTGTGGTGGTGGGCACCTGAGGCTGAGGTGGGAGGATTGATTGAGCCTGGGAGGGAGGCTGTAGTGAGCCGTGATCAGGTCACTGCACTCCAGCCTGGGCAACATAGCAAGATTTTCTGTCAACAAGTTTTTTTTTTTTTTTTTTTTTTTACAGCTTTATTAAGGTATAACTGACATACAGAGGACTACAAATATTTAAAGTAAGCAACTTCATAGTTGTGTGGTTTTTTTTTTTTTCCCTCTCTTTTTTAAGCAAAGTCACCCAGGCTGGAATGTAGTGGCACGATCTTGGCTCACTGCAGCCTTGGGCTCCGGGGCTCAAGCGATCCTCCCTCAGCCTCTCAAGCAGCTGGGACCACAGGCGCACGCCTCCACGCCCGGCTAAGTTTTTGTACTTTTGGTGGAGACAGGGTTTTCGACATTTTGCCAGGCTAGTCTCGAACTTCTGAGCTCAAGCAATCGTCCCACCTCGGCCTCCCAAAGTGTTGGGATTACAGCATGAGCCAGAGCCTGGCCCCATTATTTTTATAACCTTTATAGCATGTTTCTCCTAAAAATGTTAAGTACTTTTAATTGTCCCTCTTCTTCCACTAGACAGCAGTTTCCTGAAAACGGACTTTTTCTGTTTCCCTCACCACTCTGTACCCTCTGCCTGATCACCTTCTGTATCGATAAATGTGACTGAATGAATGAATACAATGAAAGAACCGGAGGTAGGAAATAAAGTTGTAACTTGGTTAATAAAAGGCTATGCAATTTAGGAAAAGTTGACTTTAAAGCAGACACATTTTTAGGGTCCCGTTTCTTCCTCCAGTTGTCCATGGAATAATGTCTAACATTTATCTGGTACTCTCCGGCACTATGTTAAGTACTTCACAGGTACTATACAGTTTAACTCCCCAGCAACCCTGTGGGGGTAATCGAGCTTTATTATTCTCATTTGCTAACAGCCATCAACGGTGGAAAGCCACAGTCAGGTTTAAGTAGGCCGTATCCAATTAATCCCAAAGTAATCGACACCCCATCAGTCAACAATAGGTGTTTTATCAACGTACTTTTCGGAGAAACCCCCTAAATTCCCCGCTTTACCTTTCTCTCTTGTGACTGAAACCTACTTGTAGGTTGCTAACCCGTAAGGGAGTTTCCTGGAGAATCTGAGCACCTTTGGTGAAGGAGCAGCAGCTGCTCAGACCTACGAACGGAGCAGGGCAATCTCAGGACTTCCGGAGTGCCCGGGAGGAAGGAACGGGTCAGTTGGCGCGAACTGGATTCCTGTGCCTCCGGGCGGCGAAAGGTGAAGGGGTTGTACGCTTCGCCCACGCCCGCCTGGGGCTCGGGATCTCCCGACCCGAGGGGGAACCACGGTGCGTTTCCCCAACTACACCGAACGTCACGGGCGACGGCGACTCAGTCCCGCCCACCTTCTCCGCCTCTCGTCAGTTTGGCGCTAGGACCCCACGACCCTCAACCCGGCCCTCTCCGCCCTCTCGGGCCAGATGCAGCCCGATTGGTGCCCGCGGGCATGATTCCCGCCCTCGCCCCTTCCGTCACTGCCAAGATGGCGCCGGTCGCGGTGGCCGCGGCGGCTGGAGTCGGAGAAAGAGGCGGAGGCAGTGGCGGCCGCGAGGGGAGGGGAGTCCCGTCTGACTGAGACGGCTGGCCTGGGCGGGCGGGGGTGCAGCGGAGGGCGGAGCGCCGGGCTGGGGATGAGCTAAGCGGGCTCAGAGCGCCGCGGCATTCAGCCCCTCGTGTCCCGCTGCCGCGCGTGAGGGGATCCGGCGCCGCTCTCCACGCTCGATCCGCTGCTCGCGAGGGAGCCAGCTGAGAGGTGAGTGCGGGGGCGGCGGCGCGGGCTACGGTGGCAGGTGGAGCTGTCACGGCCCGGAGAGGTGACAGCCGGGGGGCGCGGGAGCGGGGCCGGCCGGCTCGGGGAGGCGGCACGGGTGGCCGCGACCTCCGCCCGAGAGCTCCCGAGAGCCGTGCGGTCCTCCGCGGCTCCGTCCGCCCCGGGATGGCGCGGCGCTGCTGAGAGTAGCACCCGCGCCTCTGCGTCGGACGCGTGGGGGGCTCCTGTGTTTTCATTCCAGATTTTCTATTCCAGGCTGGCCTGGGGCTGTTGTTATTTGGGAGTGGGGGCGGGGAGGGGGAGGTCCTGGATCTGGGATTTTGACAAGCCCGTTACGTAAGTCGGAGGTGGCTTCCCGGAATCCCACCTGCTCGGTATCTGAGGCAGGCGGCGGGGGGAGCCCGGGGCGCCTGGAGGCCCACTTTTCCTCCCAGGGTCTGCCCAGCCTTCCCCGGCCCGCGGGCACGGGTTCTGCGTGAGCCGGGCCAGCGTCCAAGTTGGCCAGTTTTTTTCTAGTCTTTTTTTTTTGAGTGGGGGGGGGCATGTAGGGGGAAGGGAACGGTTGCTGGTTACCACCATTCCCTTTGAAGTTTATCACTTTCTGGAGAGGGTGCAGGAAAAACAGTAGAAAGCTTGTGACCTAAAATTGGGTCGCAGCGACAGCTTTTCATTATCGTGCTTTTAAATGACAGATGTGCTGGAAGATTTTTGCTGTTGTTTCAATGTGCTTTTAATTCAAACGTATGGTTACGCCTAGAACCTTAGAGAGAGGTTTTGTTTTATAGGACAGTTATTTCTTGTTTGTAACAACGGAACAGGCATCAGTCAACAGGCATGTATTTATTTCAGGAGAAAACGCGTGTCAGCCAGCTAGAGACCCGTGAGGGCAGAAATTGTATTACTCTGTGAATATGTTATTCTTTAAAATGTATTATACAGTAATGAAAAGAATAGCCCATGTGTAAAAGAAGCAGTCTTACAAGATGACAAGCTGGTATTTGGTGTGTATATAGTCTCATTCTTTTTTCTGCTTACCCTAGTCTCTACCTCTTCTCTCCTTGGGGGAGGTGGTGAAGACACCTGTAAACAGCATAGCCCAGTATACACTAATCTATTATAGTACATTTGGAATTGCTTTAAAAAGCATTCTGGGGGACCTAAGATTGGGTAATAAGTAAAGACTCTTGAGCAAGTTATTCAGTTTTATGTTTATAGCTGTACTGCGATTCGACTTCTGAAAACTTAAATATACAACATTTCTGAGCTGTTTGAACCCTGTTTGAACTTACAATAAAAGGTATTTGGCTTCTTTTCTGGAAACTTTGTTTTGAGCAGAATTAAATATATCGGGCAATTTTTACTTCATTTTCACAATTTCCCTTTGAACCACAGCTCTCAGTAAGAGTCCAGAATAGCATATGTTATCATCATCATTATATATAATATGTTACATAATTTTCTTTTTCTGAATGATTAAACATAGACCTACTTCACTGTGGAATTTAATTTTTGTTTTGTATTATTTTTTAAGCCCCTTCCGTTCTGGGATCACTGTGGAATTTTCTAACAATGTACTTGCTAAGAAAGTTAATTGATCTTGATACCAGTGGCAAATTTGGGTAAATATAAATAAATTTTGGCCCGAGTTTTAAACTTATATACACAAATTTACATTTTTTAAAATTGGTGAAGCAATATGAATTTTTTGTTTGTGCAAGAGAGCCAGGAAGCTGATGCTGATTTGTTCTGAACTTTTCCACATGAATTACTACTGGTTTAAAGAGTTATTGATTCTCAAGTTCCTGGAACTGTTGTCCTATTTCTGGTAGCTTGAATAATATTTAGTATAATTGGGAGACTAGAAGAAGTAAGAGACTACATGGCATTTATTAATTCATTAAAAAATTATGGTAGAATTGTAAAATGAAACTTTTTTTACTGAGTGGTATTAGTTACACTATATTTTGTTTACAGAATTTTTCGAACATTCTGTGTCCTGCAAAAACCTAGTTTAAGCACTGATGCAGATAGAGGTGTTTGGCATGTTATAAATCTTGTGCTATTCCTACTTAAATTGATGGTGCATTGTTCTAGGTGGAAAACAAAAGTTGCTCTAGCAGGAAAATTGACTTGTTACTCTTGCCATCTCCGATGTCAGAGCCTTATCTTTGTGGGACTTTTCCTTTTTTACAGGTAGAAGAGTGACTGAGAATAGTTGAATAGTTTTCTTCCTTTCTTATTTATTTATTTATCTAATACCCTAGATTGATTATTTAGTAGATTTTGTGAGGGGATGCTGGGGGTGGAGGGAGACAAGCACACCACACTTTATTATTGTTTATCATAGTTATCACTTAGAATTCTACAAGAGTAATGTAGAAATTTACATTTAAGAAGTGATTAGGCCCAATGAGGTGGCTCACACCTGTTATTCCAGCCCTTTGGGAGGCCATGGAAGGAGGATCCCTTGAGCCCAGGAGTTTGAGGCTGCAGAGAGCTATGATTGTGCCACTGCATTCCAACCTGGGCAACAGAGTAAGACCCTGTCTCAAATAACAAAAAATAGTTCATTTATATAGCATTTTATAAGAGTGGAACAATTTTAATAGTCAAAATGCATTATAATATGGGAATAGTGAAATTAATGATAACCCGTATGGTGGATACAGCTACCAAAAATCATTTTAAAAATGTACTGACATAAGAAAGTACAATATAATGTTGAGAGAAAAATTAGAATATAAAGAAACATATACAGTGTTATTATTTATAATGTGTAAATGGCAAAAAGAGTTGCAGGAGATACATAAAATAGTAAGAGATGTTATCCCTGGGTGATAGGATTATGGGTAATTTTTGTTTTAGTTTTTGTGCTTTTCTTTGTTCTTAATCTGAATAATTATTACTTTTTTTTTTTTTTTTTTTTTTTTGAGCTAAGGCCTGGGTCTATCACCCAGGCTGGAGTGCAGTGGCGCAATCTCAGTTCACTGCAACTTCTACCTCCTGGGCTCAAGCCATCCTCCCACCTTGGCCTCCCAAGTAGCTGGGACTACAGGTGTGCACCACCCATACTTGGGTAATTTTTGTATTTTTTGAGACAGGGTTTTGCCATGTTGCCCAGGCTGGTCTTGAACTCATGAGCCCAAGTAATCTGTCTGCCTTGGCCTCCCAAAGTGCTGAAATTACAGGTGTGAGCCACTGCCCCCAGTTATTACTCTTATAATTAAAAAAAGACATTGAAATATTTTCAAGGGTCATAGGAGAAAATACTGAAAATCTCAAAATAACTATTGCTCCAATAGGAAAACTATCTTAAGATTCATTGTTAGCAAAACTAACCCAAAATATCGTGCTTATTTGCATTACACAATAATAGACACAGCTGGTAATTTAGATGAAGGTATTCTCTTAATTACCAGCACTAACCTTGTAATAGTTTTACATATGTGGATTTTTGTGTCATTAAACATTGCTTCTCTCCAAGCTTTTTCTTTCCTCCACCAAAACTGTTCTGTGTTGACAGTGCCACCTATTGATGGATTCCTCTGCTTAGTCTTTTCTCCATTATTTCATCACTCAGTCTTTTCCCCATGACTTTGTCAGTAAGTAGGCAATGGTTTTTCGTTATGAGATGCCATTATATAATTTGCTAGTTACTGAGATTACAAAGGTAAATAAATGAGTAATTATTTCTGCCCTCAAACTCTGGGTCAGAATGCTTTTTTTTTTTTTTCTTTCTGGACCATCGGTACATGTTGTGTACTCTGCTTGCCTTGTTTCTCAGCTAACAGCCTGGCACCTCAGGCAGTACCTTTTTCCTGGTGCTCATATCCTTTTGTAACTTTCTTCATGGGAAAATATGTTGTGAGTTCTAGACCACCAATTTACAAATAAATTTTTAAAACATTGCTTGATTATAGGTTTGGGAATCATACTTAGAAGGGCTGCATTATGTGTTTATCTATGGCTGTTATTATTTTTAAAATGTGTGACACTTTCTTAGTTCCTTCTTTGTGCTTCCTTCTGTTAAAAATCACAAACAAGGCTGGGTGTGGTGGCTCACACTTGTAATCCCAGTATTTTGGGAGGCTGAGGTGGACGGATCACCTGAGGTCGGGAGTTTGAGACTAGGGTGACCAACATGGAGAAAATCGATCTCTACTAAAAATACAAAATTAGCCGGATGTGGTGGCGCATGCCTGTAATCCCAGCTACTCAGGAGGCTGAGGCAGGAGAATTGCTTGTACCTGGGAGGCAGAGGTTGCAGTGAGCTGAGATCACGCCATTGCACTCCAGCCTGGGCAGCAAGAGCAGAACTCTGTCTAAAAAAAAAAAATTGCAAGTAGAAAGTGAGAGAAAGAAGAGACAAAAAAGAAAGAGGTAGAAAGATATCAAGGGAATTTTCCTACCAATGTTACACTTTATTTTCACTGAAAATACTCACTAAAATGTATAGTAAGAGATAATGTTTCTGATATGCTTTGTTAAAACCTGTCTCTCAGAGGTAGAAAGATACCAAGGGAATTTTCCTACTAGTGTTACACTTTATTTTCACTGAAAATAGTGAGTCATTAAAATATATAGTAAGAGATACTGTTTCTGATATGCTTTGTTAAAACCTGTCTCTTTATCTGTGTAAAAATGTGTTTTCCATATATGTGTTAAAGTGTATATACATACATAAACTCATACAGTTTAGCTGTTTTTATTTTCAAATGAAAGATGAAATATAAAGATCAGAACTTAAAATACTAAGTTTCTTATTTTTGTTGTAATATTGTTTTATAGATGAGAGATTTTTATTTTTGAAAAGTTTTAAAAATACATAGCAAAAATGTGTACACCCACATACCCACATATAAAATGTTAACATATTTCATTTTTGCTCCAGATATGTATTTAATTAAAAATATTTACATCATCGTTATCACATTGAATTCTAAAAGAGCAGTATAGAACTTTATACTTTTCCTAAATATTAC